ACCACAGAAATGATGCATATGGTTATTAGACAATGGTGAACCACTGAGAATAGACAAAAGTTTTGTGTTTTTTAAACCCAAGGATTGGACACATTTTTATGCAAGCTGCAAGTTGGTATTGCTTACCCAGAGCTAGAGATACAATTCAATTCCAAGTATTTTTTTTTTAATTTATACAACTAGATGGCTTTAAGAAGAAAACATGAACAGTCCAGGCAAAAAGTTGTGCATATATACTACCCTAAGGGCTACACCTCTTTGTTCACTTTTCTGACTTTATAAAAAGATATTGGAAGATAAAAGCCATGAATTACCATTTCCTTTTTTGAATTTAAACAATCTTTCCCTCATTTTTGCATTACTTCTTTCTGTTACTTAAGCCCTCTCCACAGTCTTCTTGAAATATATCCAATTCTGGAGTCAGTACTATGATAGCAGTTGCATCAGTGTCAAATACAGAAACAAAATATTTCCATGTTACTAAGATATTTCTGTTTATAAATGGAAAGCGTGGGGTAGGGTGGGTCTTTTTTTCTTTTGCCCGCTGTTCTACAGCGGGATCTCAGTTCTAACTGGCCATATGCTGTGACCACCGTGTCTCATTGCAAGTTGCTTGTAGATAATAATTTCTCATTCGGTGATAACTGGCCATATTCTTTGTGTATGCTGATTTAAAGCTACGCTGCACTGAAATGCATACCTTGATTGCAAGCACTCAAGCAGTGCCCTTTGCCCTCTCAGTGATCTATCCTGGTAACCATTTTCGTCAAGTCAGGTGGGTGGAAGAGACACATCTGACATCAAGATCCATGCAAAATTTTGAGTTGTTTGAAGCGTGACAGCACTTGAGTTTCAGAGAATGACTATAAGATGCTAGCACGAATGAAACTAATTTTTCTGATTGTCTGAAGAACATTGCCCCCAGGTCTCAGCCTGAGCAAAGAGGCCCAGCCTTGAAAAATTCAGCTTGGACTAATCCTTAGTTAAAACTGTGTAGTATTAAAAGGTCCAGCAGTTACTGTCTATTACAAGGTGTGACTGGAGTTACTAACAACTTTTTAATGTAACTGTTATAAATCTGGATTAATTTCAGTGATTGCCAAAGGATCTCCGGTCTTGCTTAATGGAGGAAACAATCCTCCAAGTGTTTCCCTGTAACAGCCTTATTTTAAACCATATTAAAGGATTCTTTAAAAGCATGAAGAATTTCAGTGATAGATTTCTGAACATTAAATGCATAATGTGGCACACTCTATTTGCTAATTTATGTTTGAGGTTTAATTTGTTATGGATGATATTAAGTCCTTGTAATTTTGCCAACTCTTACTATATATATGTAAATACCTATTTTCAAAGCTGTCTTTAGATTCTGTGCATCTCTGTAGCACTGAAGGCTAATAATGTCTGTCTGGTGTTTGGGCGTGCAGTGACTTGGTTTCTAATAAATGAATATAAATGCTGGTGACGTAGCTGATAGATTTTTCAACTGCATCTCTCCTCCATTATTTGGTTATTAACTTTCTCATCTTTGACATAAAATACAGGGAGAAATGTTTTTATATTTCACTTTACCTGAAGTTATATAGTGACCATCCTCTCTTGTTTAAGAAATACGATTAGTAGAGTCATCTGAAACTTTTATAATGTCACTAATCTCGCTTCTGTTTGAATCTTATTGCCATGAATTTAAATATTGTTTTTCAGATATGAACATCTGCCTTTTGCAAGTACTGGTTTTTGCTAATACAGAAACTCTTTAACACATCGGTCAAGCACTTTCTTAAAAACAGATGGATTGTGGAAAACAAAAGTAATCAGATTTGACTGTTACGGGACTTTAGATACCATGTAGACTGCATAAGCTTTTCACGAGGGAGGGAGATGAGTGTGTAAAGTGCTTTTGCTGATGGGTAGAGAACTCTTCCTTGTTTACTGGCTTGATGAAAACTCAGTTTTGTTTTGATTGTCGAGCTTCCGGCCAGCACCTTCTGTCTTTAAGTCCTGTCTAGCCAAAGCACTAATTAGTTCTTATAGCTTGTCATAGCATTAATTGCTGCTTTAAGTCTGTCTTGCATAAATAGGAGGTACTGACCCACAAAAATGGGAGAATGATGAATTCTTTCGCTTATATTTTCAGGGGATTGCGGGGGGGGGGTGTGTGTGTGGTGTTGGGGTTTTTGTTTGTTTGTTTTAAGCTTTGAGTCTTAAGGGTTCCGCAAAAGCAGTTATTTTTGGATTTTATGTTCTGGAGCTTTTGGATTCTGGCATTCAGCCAATGCTTCTGATGCTAATTAAAGCTCTTGCCAGGTCATATATATCAGAATGCAAACTGGATAGCCTTTTCCTGCTGCTTGCTATAAAAATTTGTGTTAATTTTCTTAACACCCAGCTCAGTTTCCTGTAGTAAAAATATTGTATCCATGGAAAGATGTTTGGAGCACAGCAGTGTAAGTAAGATTATGAGATGAGTTAGCTTAGATGTCTTCAGACAGTGCTGTATGCACAGTGGAGATGTGTCTTAAGATGTCTGACTCCGTGATGTCTAGCTAATTTACTAGAAAGTTTTTAATTCACTGGGTTATCAGGTGGATTGACAGAACATACTTGATTACCAAATGCAACAAGTTTGTCATTCAACTGTTTCAGATTTACTGCTGTTATGTTTAGAAACTACAGAAACTATTAGAAATTTAAAAATCTTGGTAAAACAAGAGATTGTCTTCAGCATTGTCTGAGTGTTCAGAGGATAATCTGAGAAGTATAGATTTGCAAGTTTACCTGCCTTAAATAAGATTACCTACATGATTTCTGGGAGGTGAGGAAGATGGAAATGAAGAACAGAAGGGAGTTAACTGTACATTATTGCTGTTTAACTTCTTTTAACTTTTTTTGTCCTTCAAAGATTGAGTTGTTTGCCATATATGCCACAAGGGACAATATACTTAAGCTCCTGCCATAGGTCTGTTACTTGTTCAGAATTTCTTGTTCTTCTGATCCATGAGGTGTATTGCTCCTCTCTATTGAATTTTGAAGAGAGTAAGCTGTTTACCCAACTGTCCTAGTTACTGTAATATGAGCGTTAAACAAGTAAATTAATGGTTCTTTTATTTTTGTTCAGGTAGGATGTCTTGAGATAGGCAGATTCCTTATTTAATAGTGTGCTGAAGCTCACTAGCTTAAGTAGGTCTTTCTTGTTTTGTGTATCGCCATAATTAATAGTTTTATCAACTGAGTTTAGAGTCAGAAGTGGCAATTGAAGTATAAATCGATTATTGCCTAC